CGACCGGGGAGATCTGTGGGATACCTCCCCAGATCTCCAGATAAATTTATTTCCAGCAAGCAACGCCACAAATTTTGATAAGCTTCCCGGAGTCGGAATCAAGGCAGTCTGGTCGACTCCGACTCCGACTCCGACTCCGGGCTCGCTACCACGACTCCGGGCGACTCCGACTCCGACTCCGACTCCGCATCCCTGCTCTCAAACATCGGTTTACTGGAAAACATGACACACCCGAATATTGCACTCGTTACTCCTCTGTGTGACCCTGAGGTTATCTCAGGTCATGAAGGGTCACCAGCAGTTTTTTTAAAACTATTTCTTTTGAATTGATATAAGAGACGACAGACGTGCTAGAGCGGTAAAAACATGTCAGATGTGTTCAACTCGGCGATACGGATCGACTGATATGCAGCATGGCCCTTTCCGGTCAGGCCATGCCCTGACCCGAGGTCAAATTTTCCAAATGACCTTAAAAGTCCGAATTTCATTCGACGCGACTCGACGAGGGGAACACGTTGCTGGCAAAAGTAATGTCGTGGCTCCCTTCAGTCAAAATCTGTTACCTAAAACTTTTTTTTTCGTATAAACCAGGGATGCAGAGCCATGGACATTTCAGACGGTCCGGCTCCGGCTCCGGCTCCGAGTAAAATGGTCCGGCTCCGGCGGCTCCGGCTCCTTCTCAGTACATCCCCTATGCGATTAATTAAATACCTACGGGTGGAAGAGAAAGGGCGATTGAAATTGGATTGGTAGGTACACGTTGCCTCTGTATTTGCATAACAAAGCTAATTTGAATAGTGAATACCACATGGCCCTGTATTGTCAAACCGAACTAGGTCAATAATTTTTTCCTCTTAAAAAAAAAAGAGCCGGAGTCGCCCCCTTTTTTGACGACTCCGGCTCTGGTTCCGGCTACGGGCTATATTGTATCACGGCTCCGGCTCCGGCTCTGGGCAAAATATGCCGGCTCCGGCTGCTCCGGCTCCGGCTGCTCCGGCTCCGGCTCCGCACCCCTGGTATAAACGGCTATTTTTATATTTTTTGCCCTCTGGAACATGGAATATATCACATAGGACAGGAAAAAGGTAACTGTGAAGGAACGGGAGGAGCTGACGATGATAAGCGCGATCTGACGGTGAGATGAAGATCCTTGCGGAGGCTTGGTTACGGGGACAGTGGACACTACACGACTTATTAGGCACTTCTGGTGTGAAAACTGAAAGGACAATTAATAAACCCACTTTCGGTATCGGTCTCCATTATCGACACTTCAGCCTACCTACATAGCGCCGCGCTTGGATACGCTGCAATGCGTCTTCATGTCATCTGTCAGGTTTGTAGTGGCATCGCAGCGATGTCGCTACCAGCAGCTACGCACCTCCGTCTTGAGGATGTAAGGTCATTATAGGGATGCCACTGTATAGAGACTCAGTGATGTCATACAATTCCGTCACTTAGGAACCGTACGTGCCACCACCTATCGGACAGCCATTGAACTAATAGTTTGCAGCTTGTACAACAGATGTCACTATTTTGGATGATACGGTCTTGGATGCTGCGGTGCCAGAAATGTTTTTTGGATGAAACGGTTTTGGATGCTGCACCCTTGGATGTTTCACTCTTGGATGCTGCAATTCTTCATCCTTGGTTGCTGCCAATTTGGATGATACGATTTTGGATGCTGTGGTCCTGGATGTTGCAGTTTTGGATGTTTCGCTCTTGGATGCTCTGAATCATCCCTAAGGGGTCGGTTTTGGATGTTATTTGGACGTTTTGATCGCTGGATGCTAAGGTTTTGGATGTTGCGTCCCTTGGATGCTGCGCTCTTAGGATGCTTCAATACTCACCCGGGGTGAGACTAAATGCTTACTTCGAAATCTAAGCTGTGTTGCGGCATTGGCGGTTATGTGCGGCGTGTATGCCGCATGATTAGTAAGCGGCGACCACTAAATTAAAGACTTAAACGCTCCAACCTGTTTTCAATGAATAACACTGCATACCAAAAATGCCAATCACTCTCGTCATAAGATATTTAGATTTAAATAACTAAGTTATCTGCATCATCATTTTGAACCAAATTAATGCCTTCAACTTAGTAGATACTCACTCATTCCTTCCTTCGTTGGCTCCAAACAGTCTTTCGATTGTCTGGAAATCGTATGCCAAATCCCGCACCTGTATACGACTGGTGCATATAAAGGCCGATGTAAGAATTTCAATAGGCTCTCGCATGCGATTTCCTGGCTACCCAAAAAGTCTGTTTCAGTCATGCTATCAAAACATGGTATGTCAGCCCTGTCACCAGCTTATGACTGCTCTACTTGTAGTGCCCCTGACCGTCACCGACTCCCTTCCCTCCTTAAAAGCCTAGTTTCCCACCATCATCTCTACTAGATTTACTGTTAACGCCAGACCCCTTGAGACCCTAATTTTTCGCGATTACTTTTAAATGCGTGAAGGAATTTCAATCAAGCTCAGGACATGGCCGTTTCAAGACAGGCCGAAACTTTGACAATTTAGATATTTTATCGCCATTTCAATATTTCAGGCACTTGTCATTGACTCGTTATGTTAAATTTCGAGCAAGATTTTCATCCGGTGTGTAGAGGCTATCACCAGTCAGTCTGTGATACGTTATGACGTCACAGCTAAGCCCCGCCTCTGTGGTCTTGGCCTGCGGCGGTTTCGGGCCGGCGCGCGGTCACTCTCGCTGTGGCGGGGAGCGGGGACGGGCGACGGTCGAGCGGTGCCGAAAGCCGGCGGAGTTGTGCGTAGCGTCTTGGCTGACAGTGCCCAGAGAGCGACATGATGACTAAGGAGTCATAAATGCTCAATGCGCATTGCTTCTACAATGCTGATATGTTCGCTGATATTTTTTTTATTTATTTATATAAGCTGCATATGACGGGCAGATGGCATATAACTGACATAAGGTTAGGAAATATTCACCTGTATTTAAAGCCTATGGCGTTGCAGATAATGCGATAATGGGATGTCGGATGTCACCAAGTAGCTACCGATTTGTACATCGCTATGCAACCATCGAACAACGCAATAATAGTTAATTGCCTGAGCTTCACATCATACGGCTCGCTCGTATTTCAAACAGATACCCTACATCGAAAATCGTATTTGTTAGGAATCGTTAACGTTTGTTCGAAGCACGACTGAGTAGTAGGTTGAGGAGTAATGGTCCTCTTGGTCCTATATACAAGAGTCAACAAGAGCCTAACATTTACTTGACCGTCTGCTGCAATTGACTCATAGCACGTGAAGCGTCAGCGAAATTCATAGTCCTTCACAGATGGCAGGGGTGTCGTTTGTACAGAGGTCGCTGACGGGCACGGGTCAATGCCGCAGTCGTGGGCGGAGCCTAATGTCATATGACGTAGAAAGCCTCTATCCAGGATGGAAAAACAGTTAACATTACGAGTCAATGACAAGTGCCTGAAATATTGAAATGGCGATAAAATATCTAAATTGTAAAAGTTTCGGCCTGTCTTGAAACGGCCATGTCCTGAGCTTGGTTGAAATTCCTTCACGCATTTAAAAGTAATCGCGAAAAATTAGGGTCTCAAGGGGTCTGGCGTTAACAATAGGTGATGCTCCGACAAATTCACAAACAAGACCGAACTTGTTCGGAGCTCGGACTGTGAGTTAACCCTCGCCCTTTAGGGGGGGGGGGGGTCGAACGGACTCCCCTCGGTTTTTCGCGAATAACTCGCGTAAAAAGCGGCCGATCACGACGTAACGTTTAGTATCCTCGCGTTGATCAATTTTACACCTACCCTGAAAATTTCATGACCCTGACGCAAATAACCTTTGACCTGTGACCTACTTTTCGAGACCATGTTTGGCCGGAACCGCGATTCAGCGTATGTCGGCTCGCATTAGCAGCGCGTTTGCAGTCTTTTCGTGGTTTCAAGCAAGGCCGTTTCAAGCGTTCAAACATGTGATATGATGTTGCCCCCATGCATTAGGGTGGGTGTCAAAGTCACCTGAAGGTCAGGTCAGGTCATTAACCTTTGGTGAACTCGGTTCACTTTTTCGAGTTTCTAGGCCAGTTTTTCGAGCTGAATTCGAATTTAGCAACCACATGAACGTTTACAAAGTAGTTTTGGTGCCTTCGTAACATGTTACGAGGCTGTCAGAGGCGGTTGACACCTACTACAAATACCCGGCAGGACCTCTACTGGTTGACCTGACCTGACCTGACCTGACCCGACCTGGCCTAAATGAATGAAGACATCATCATCAAAACTAGCATGATATTCGTGATCAGCACCCCGGAAAACCCCATAGCAGCCACACTACGACGTTCTCAGGTCCCAATTTTCCGCCTTTTGGGTCATTGGCCTGACCTGGAAGGTCAACCGATGACCTAGGACCTTAAAATTGGGTATCATCGGCTTCCTCTCGTCACGGGCAACACGCTCGTTTTTTTTTCCGCGAAGCTCTCGCTTGATCAGGAGCGAAACGGCAAGGGGTTATACCTTATACGTTCGCCGTTCGCGGCTGGAAAAACACCAATACGGGCGAGGGTCAAGTTGAAAGTATTAATTTGGTTCAAAACGATGATGTAGATAAGTTAGTTATTTAAATCTAAATATCCTATGACGAGAGCGATGGACATTTTTGGTATGCAGTGTTATCCATTGAAAACAGGTCAAAGCTATTGAGTTTTAATTTAGTGGTCGCCGCTTACTAATCATGCGGCATACACGCCGCACATAACCGCCAATGCCGCAAAGCAGCTTAGATTTCGAAGTAAGCATTTAGTCTCACCCCTCACCCGTGCCTTCAGCATTACGAAAAATGGCAACAGCCCGTGAGCAGCATCAGCGCTCATGCACATGTTCAAGGAAAACAACGTGTAATTAGCTGCTGACGATGGCCCTCTCCACCAATCAGCGCTCGGTAACTCGAGCGCTGATTGGCTGGTAGCAAACGCTTTTAGCAGCAAACATGTCAAATCTGGAACTTCATAAATACGGTAGTAAATACACAGCCTAAAACAAAGGCATTTGTTGGCGCATTTGTTTTCGATTCCTTGCGCAGGCCGGCGGCAGCGGGTAGTAGTTTCATATCAATATGCATTTTTTAAATATATTTGTCGGTCTTGCAATTTTGTTGGCTTTTCATGATGTTCATGATGTTACACTCGATATACGCATTTCATAGCTTTTATAATAGCTTATCGTCAAATGTGTTCAGGAATGATTTTCACTTGCTGTTGTTCAGTCTGGACATGCTAAGTTATGTTTTGCTTGCCAATTTTCATGATTATTCGACTTATTTTGGCCAAACACTGATAAGTTAACTTTTTTTGCCTGTTTTATTGTGTATTTTCATTTTGGTTAAGTAATTTCTTATAAACATTCATCGTGACTTAAAGGGACCCTCCCACCTTAACATTAGTTTGGAGTTGAGATAGCCAAGTTTGCGGCCAGGCTCAGAAACCACCATTTATCCTGGGCGGTGTTTCACGGGCTGCTGCTACCACGCTGCTATCAAATTGCGCGAGCTGACGTCACACTTGTGGTAGTGTTGGAGCAATGGGCCTGTTGATGTCTCCATGGAAACCCAATCTGACAAGTCGTAAAATCGGCGTGCTGCTATCACCGGTGAAACAGGGCCCAGGTCGCAACCCCCCCCGCTTTATGGTGTTCAAGAAATTTCTTCCCTTTACTTGCAGGGTGGGAACAGCGTGGTCCCTATCTCTTAACCATTACGGGAATCTGATGACGTCATCAGGCTTTCGAACGTCCGTTAAATGTTTGACTAAAACGTTTTGTAGCACGTGGTGGTATATGCTGCTTTGCGCGCAACAAATGCCGCACTTTCAAATAAAGTCGCTAGGAACAGCGGAGATCCCAAAAAGTAAACAAAAGTAAAAGTCTAATATCTTGAAAACCGGTGAATATTTTTCGATGAAATTTGGTAGATATTCGTTTTTGCTCTTTCTGAACCGAGCGACATCACTTTCATGCCAATTCATTAACTTTTTTGAAGGTGGGAGGGTCCCTTTAAGGTCAGCTGTATTGAAAAATTGCTGAGTGCTGGTCGGTGGAGGAGTTATGTTTGATTTTGTCTACATGCGGGAGACAAGTGAATTTTTTCATCTGGTTAAAATGTTGGCATAAGTTATTATCCACTCGCATCAACAATGCATTGCTGATGAGTGCTTAATGCGGAACAGCTAAAATACAAAATGCTAATGTTTTACGTAAACTTTCTTTTCAGATACAATGGACTTGAAAAATGAAGTGCCAGATGGAGCAGAGTTTATTGGTCATCTGTCATCCTTCTTACCATCAGCAGTCAAACAACAGCTGATATACATCCACTCCCTGTATGTGTGGTCAATGAAACAGAGAGGTTAGTCAGTACTCAGTAGGTATTTTGATATACCTGCCAGCCTCTGTATGCTTATGATACCAGTCAACATTTTCTTTTTGAACTGTTCCCAAGTGAAATATTATTTCTGAAGTGACAGCCTGTCTGCTGATATCCTATTAAAGTTTTTGTTCCACCATTGGTTGACAGACGCCTTGCAAGGACCCACTGTGTGTGCAATGTGCATTGGTCATTTTCACATTAGTTTGATGTTTTGAAATCATATTACACCTGTTGTTGAGGCTTGAGTGTGTTAGTATGGAATGGACCAACAACACAAAAATGAGTAAACTGTTCATCTCAGCTGTTCAACAGTCTCTCACGGGCCACCGCACGTCCCACAGCTGCTAGACTCTGACCCCGCCCAGGGGCTTCGAGGCAGAGGCGGCTCCCGGCGTGCTTACCGGGCAGGCACGGGCGGTCTCAGCCGCCGTGGCAATAACACCATCTGACCGACCTCCGTTCTCAGACCGCCGGGTGGACGGCTGGCCCCTGCTCGACTCTCCGCTGCCCACTCTGCTTCTGACTGCCGGGTACCTGCTGCTGGTGTGGCTCGGCCCGCGACTGATGCGGCACCGTCAGCCCATGCAGCTGCGCGCGCCGCTAGTCCTCTATAACCTGGCTGTATCGCTGCTGAACCTCTACATCGGCCTGGAGGTGAGTGGCTCCAGCTGTTCGGCTGATGGGTGCTTGGCTCAAGGGTCTGGAGGGAAAAGGATTAGGCGACGTGGCTCGTAGCCCGTAGGCTACTAGGATGTGGTCGAGGATGTATGTGGCCGAGGTTACTAGGATGTATCGTTATCAGATCGTCGTAGGTGGCCCCATTCCCCCACAATTAATGAAAATGAAGAATATCTCTCGGTCGTCCGTCTCACCTCCCCCTCCGATTTATTCGCAGCTGGCGATGGTGGCGTGGAAACAGGGCTACAGCTGGCTCTGCGAGCCGGTCGACTACTCGACATCTCCAGAGGCTATGCGGGTAAGTTATCGTCGATTTATACAGCATAGACGCTTCAGTCATTGAGATGCGCTAATAAATAACGGGAGTACCGTCACTGGCACTCGACAAGTTTTCGGCGTTGAAAACTATTCGGGACGGAGCGCTGAGTTCTCTTCGTCTTGGTTGTTGATATATCGTTTTTTTCATTGCAGATAACAAGTGCGCTCTGGTTTTACTACATCTCCAAGCTGTTGGAATTTGCCGATACGGCATTTTTCGTACTGCGGAAGAAAAACGGTCAGATCACGTTCCTGCATGTGTATCACCACTCGACGATGTTTCTGCTGTGGTGGATCGGCATGCGCTGGGTGGCCGGGGGCTCAGGTAGGTGAAACGCATTGTCCTTCACCTCACCACCCATTGTCCTGTTATAAAGATAATTGAATTACAAAACATAAGAGGAGTGACGATGCTTAGGGTTTAATGTCCTTACATAGCGTTCTTTTATAACGCGCTTAGTACCGAAAAATATTCGATGGAAATGAACTTTCGTTGCTGGGCAGTTCACGGTAGTTAACTAGCACTTAGCAGTATCTATCGACTATCATCAACTTCGTTCTCATTATTTTTATCGTAAAATTTATCTTGCTCCTTTATGGTTGCATGCAATGTCATTGCAGTCCCTAACTGATATTTGTTGGGTGTACTGATATAAGTGGCAGCCTCACTATTCAGTATCTTCAGAACGGATGCCACCTTTTTCAGCGTTCGTGGGTGCCATGCTCAACAGCTTCGTGCACGTGCTGATGTACCTGTACTACGGCCTGTCGGCGATCGGGCCGCGTCTGCAGCCCTACCTGTGGTGGAAAAAGTACCTCACCATGCTACAGCTGGTGCGTACAGACCTATCAGAGGATATAGATGTTCTTTGAGCGACAATACCTACGTGTTCAGCTTATCGTATTTACAATTTGCATGTGGCTCGTTTTTCACCAAGGAGTGTAAAATCCATCATATTTGAATTTTTTAGTGATTAAATTGCGATTTTCCGTGTTTTGATGCGTATTTTGCGTTTGACGACGCATATTGTGTTGCTTTTCCTATTTCTGAACGACTTTGTTTGTTTGTTTGTTTGTTTTGTTGGGTTAGGCCCTTTCGGTCGACAAGACCATTGCAGAGCCGGAAGGATGATAGGAATTAGGGGGAGACATTGGTCTGGGCAGGCACCCTAGTGAGTCGCCGGGGCTGAGCCCGTCCAAGGACAGGCCACCCAGCCCCAAGGCACTCACTGCACCCGGCTACGGGGTGCGCTCCCTCAGGAGCAGCGGTGCCGCTCCAAGGGAGCAGCCCGCATGAGATAAAGTTGCCTGTCCAGCCCGGAGTGGGGTTGCGGCGTGGAGGAAAAGGATTTCAGTATCCTGAGGATAGAAGCACGGATAGGTGTCTGAACGACTTTTCCTTTCCAGTTGCAGTTTTTCGTGGCGCTGGTGCTGGGCGTGAACGCACTGCGTCTCGACTGTCCATTCCCCCTGTGGATGCAGTATACGCTGGTGATCTACATGATCTCATTCATCCTCCTCTTCCTCAACTTCTACATCCACGCCTACTCCACCGGCAAGGCGAGGTCGGCCAGGGTGAGTGACGCGCTCGGACGTGACGTGTTTGCGCTGCGATTGCCACCTTTCAGCCGCGAGTCTTATCGGCTGTCTTAAAACGGCTGTCTTGTGCGATGAGTCATAGGCAGCAGTCTCTTATCGACCATTATCACATACCTAACATTGCCGTACCATGATTGATGATATATGAACGATGGTGTAATCAACCAACGAACGACTTTCTGACGCTAAACCTCCTTCCACAGGCTCAGAACGGCGTGGATCCGCCGTCCGAACGTAAAAACACAACCAACGGGTTTACGGATCTCCGGCACAAGAACGGGTATCACCGGGTGGCGTCCGGCGGCGACGGTGGCCGCCCGAAGCAGCTGTGAACGCGGCGCCGCGCTTGGAGGGGAGGGACTTAAAGGCGTAACCGTCAGCGAGATTACATAGATACACCGCGAACCGGTGTCAGTGCGGCTGAGCTTATCAGCTCCGTGGGAATCTTAGCAGGAATTTTCATCGTGTTTGTGACCGTCTTCGGAGGTTAATGTTTTCTACTCTTGTTTACCCAACCTAGCCCGATTCGCATCTTTCCTTCGGGATTCCTTGTAGCAAAAAGCTCGCAGTCATGTTTTGTCTTTCTCATAATTTGTTTGTCTTTCGTTTTTTGTTTCGAATATTCCTTTTCTTGTGATATGGTACTGTCTTGTGTAGCGGATTTGGAAGATGATCATTATATGAAGTGCAGTTTAATTAAGAATCAGGACTTTTTGAGGTGTTACTGCCATTAGTTAGGCTACATCCATACGAGAAGATGTCTGCCGATGCCTATCACTTTATTTTCTAGTTGGGCTTGCTTTTTTTCTTTTCTATTTCAGCTTTTTACGGGTGTGTTTTTAAACGTACTTTTGGGTGTTTTTGTTTGCATTTTGTTATTATTATTACCAGTATTCCTCTCGACCTTGCCAGCATGTTTTGTCCATGCATCAGGTATTGTTGGGATCGGTGATGCTTGAATTTACTCAGTGTGCGAACGCCGTGCGCGGTTTCTCAGATTATCGTTCAGTTTGTTCTTGCCATGTGCCAATGGCCTCTTATGTTCTAGCCAAGAATCGTTCCCGCCATTCAAACCAGTGACGATTCAACGGGAATTGCTGCGGGCATTGTGAATCGAGGGTCGGGGTGGTTTTGCGCCAGTTTGGCTGTCATGTGCGGTCAACGGCGTTCTTATGATTTGTGATATTTTGAATTGACTGCCAACGTAGTGAGTGAAGTGCTGTCTATTACTAGTCCCTTTCGCTATAGTCGTATAGGATGAGATTGAAAATACAAATAGTCATTCATTCCTATTTCCGAAACTGTGCTGGATGGCCTCATGTACAAAGCATCTTGACGGCAAATGTTCCTACAAGACGCGCAAGTTGGGCTTGCACACGCTTGTGCAAATGCGGCGTCCCGCGCCTGTATTGACTGAGTGCCTTGGTTGGCACGCACATTCACCGTTTTCGTTGAACTGAGCGTCAACTTTCCGGAAACTCATCTAAACTAGAGTTGTTCGGGCATCTTGCCACCGCATTCATAAAAATATTAAGTTTGCATTCGACATGCCACCAGAATCGGTGTTGTGGTGCCCCCTGGCATTTGGTGTCCCCCCTCCTAAAAAAATCCACGGTGACGGATTTCGGCCACTTGCTGAGGGGATGGTGCCCCTGAGACCTCGGGAATCGGGATGGTGCCCCTGAAACCTCGGGATTGTGCCCCCTCAGACCCGGGGAGAGTGCTTCTCCAGACCTCGGATTTCGGAATGGTGCCCCTGGAAACTTGGAATGGTGCCCCCGGAGACCTCGGAATGGTGCCCCCGGAGACAGACTTCGGGATGGTGCCCCCGGACACTTCGGGATGGTGCCCCCTCTGCCTTCAGACCTTGGGATGGTGCCCCCAGATCTTGGGATGGTGCCCCCAGACCTCGCGATGGTGCCACCGGAGACCTCGGGATGGTGCCCCCGGACCCTCGAGATGGTGCCCCCTCCGACCTTGGGATGGTGCCCACGGAGAACTCGGGATAGTGCCCCCGGAGAACTCGAGATGGTGCCCCCACGGACCTCGGGATGGAAAAAGCCCCACCCGAGGCGAGGGACAGAAATGGGCCTCCGGGAGACCCCGAAAATGGTACCCCATTCCGATAGACCTTCTGGATGGTGCCCCTTTAGGAGACCTCTGGGTTGAAGCTCCCGTCGGCGACCTCCGTGATGTCAAAAAAAAAAACCTCCCGTGATGGTGTCCCCCGGGAGGCTCAAGGGGGGGGGGGCATGGCCCCCACGCCCACCCCCTCTGGCTCCGCCACTGGTGCAGCGTGTGTGTATGCATGGACGTGGCGCGAATCCTCTAAAACCGATGACGTCATACATGGGAATTCGCTCAATCTATTGACAACGAATCTCAATCTTACAATTTGACCGAGCTTGAATTTGTTGATCGCCCTCTGTGTTTTTCACACACGGATGTCCTCCTCTATTTTATCTTAAATTTTGTCATTATAATACGTGTTTGCAAGGATTTCAAGATTCCAACATATAGCGCTGCTTTCATATTACTGCTAGGTATGTGAACGTCTGATTTTCTAGAAGGATTGTGGCTTTGAACGCTCGTGTTCTGTTACGCTAAGTCTCAGTAGGCGGAACTATGGTCAAGCGTACCCATTTTCGGGAACGCATTTTCGTTCCCATGTTTGGGAACGATAAACCCAAATATGGGAACGCCATGTAGGAATTATTTAAAACAAGAAAAAGAACCGTTAAATGACGTCCAAAAAATATAAAACGATCGTGAACCGCCTGATATTTGTCTCAATATTGTTGGGAAAGAGTTTGATATTGTAAGGCCCATCGTAGTTTCAAATCGTTCCCCTATTTCTAAAGCAGTCCATCATCCGGGCCGCGAACCTAAATTTGGGAACGCTCTCGTACACTGGCGCTGCAAGCGTTCCTTATTATGGGAACGGCGTACCCAAAATTGGGAACGATTTCACCGACGCCTTTCAGGGGCTCTTTTCATTAACAAGCATCATGTCCAACGCCGCAAATTATTGTTAAGCAACAATCATCAGATGACCTTTCCGGCAAGACCGTCGCATGTTTCGCCCGGTCTTCTGCGCTTTTATTCCCGTCGATCTCGCAGCGGGCACGCCCCCCTCTGCAGGATTACGTAATTCACAACGCTCAGCGATGTTCAACAAGGTCTTCCATACCTATATCCACCGTCCGCGCCGAGGGTGGAGACATGTCAAGCACCTGTCTGCTTATCACCGATAGTTGACGAGCACAAGGAAGTATCCAAAAATGGGAACGCTGAATATGTTACACCCTCAAAACACCTAGTCCCATGGAAAATCTAGTTTTTTCCTTTCTTAATGAGTGTAAGTGGCAAAAGGCCTGGTAGGATGGGCACGAGGAATGATCGAAATCAGCATAAAAATTATAAATAAGCCACACAGAGCGACCTATATAAGAGAAATTCCCCCAAAACGATCATGCTTAGAAACACGGAAGACAAAAACCACGCTCATGACGCTCCTTATAAAACAATGCTAAACAGCTAGCATCCAAATAAAATGTCTTTCCGGGCTGATAAAATACAGCTGAATAATTTTAAACCACTGAAACTGAGTTTACAACAGTAGTTCGGTAAAATCACTGACGTTCCACGCGGTCGTGCGCCCCGAGACCAAAAGTCAACAATATTACCTCGGGACTGTCCGCGTGTTCGCTTGCATATGTCAGCATCTGGTGTCGCTAGTATGAAACTTCATAACCAGGCGAAAATTCTTATACTTGACCTCAAAATGTAAAAAACGCTTCATTTTCCTTTAAATTGCATGTTAAATGTAGTATAACCCATGTTTTCACCATTCCGTCATTAAAAAAAAAATCATTAAAAATATCATTCGACGGTCAATTTCCTTGTTCAACGGTCAGATTAAAGATAATTTTATAGAGATTTAGTAGATACTTAAATTAGCGTGCACTTTTTTGAGACGTGATGCACTAATGAGTTTTAGTGGGCGAACGGCCGAAAAATTACCTTCCGTTCTCATAAATGGGAACGCCCGTTCCCATATTTGGGAACTCCGTTCCCAAAAATGGGAACGTTCCTATATTTGGGTACTCATGACCATAGTTCCACCTACTGGTCTGAGGCCTTTTTGGACACTGACGCAGTCCACAAGTCAAAAATTAACGTTTTTTTTTCTCAAATCACGAGCTTGTCTTTTGTCCTGTTGAATAAGTGTGAACTTATTTAATAAGTGCTAGCTTATCAAAGAGCCAGAATTCAAATTGGAATGAGAAAAGGAATGAATACGAGAAGCCAGTTTGCAATGTTGCGCTGATGACCACTGCAGTCCAGTTGCCTTAACTCCTCAGATCATCACTACATGCTTATTGTATGCTTTTGTGTATTGTGCTAACTGCTAAATATTGTTATACTCAGCCTGTTAATTAATATTGGACGCCGGTGAAAACAGGGCGCCGGAGGGCATATTAGTCACGTGACATTTGGAACTTCTCCCGCTCAATGGGCCTTCCATGTGCCAAACGTCACATGTACATTTAATGAACCTTGATCAAATCGCCCCAGGCGCCCTGTTTTCACCGTCGTCCTTAATATTATGCTCGCTTGTTAATGCTTTCAGATTTTGTTACGAATTGCTTGATAATTCACTATTGTTGCCTGCTTACCTAAACTTTTTGTCCATCAGATGCTACTTAATTTGAAAACATGAAGTATTTTGATTTCCAAAGTGTTCAGTGTGTCTTGTATTTTTACCATGTCTCTACAAGTGATTCAAGTTCTTATTTTCTTGTGTTGCAGGACCTGAGTGGTCAGCATCTTGATGAATACTTCTGATCAGCTATGCAAGCCAGATTCTGAAAGGTAAGAGAACAACTAATTTGATGCTTATGCAGCTGTATTGCCTTTGCTTGTTATTGCTTCTATACTCTCTATTCCCACTTTACTTTGCTTCAAAGTAACTGAAGCCCTGACAAGCTTTAGTGTCTATTGTTGCATGGACAATGTTCATGCACATGCATGCTACTTTGTACTATCATAGTGGATAGTATAGCTGTTGTGAGGAAATAATCTCTGATTCAGATCCTGTCATTCCTTGACATCATCATGAACTGGTTAGGTACCTACCTACTGTCGGACTCAGCCTGATTCAAACTCATGTACTGAAGAGGACTCATCCTTGATTTTCATATCAAGGATGAATTCTTTGAGAATGCTTTTTGATTCATTCCTGAAGTAAAAAAGTTGTTCAACCCAGGTCAAGCACTCTGAAGCACCCAAACAACAACTTCCAAATTAGGAATGAGTGTAGTACAAGTCTAAAGTTTTTTGTTGTTGATTTTTTTATGTGGGTATCTCTTGAGTCTTAAGTGTCCAAGCAATGGTTCTATTTGACCACAGCTTCATGATGAACCAATTCCTAAGGCACACAAATTTGTTATTTCATGTGAACACTGAAGTTTGCTGCCCAGCCAGCAGCCCAAATGGACCCATATGGGCTGAATGCAGGACTTTGAATCAAAATGCTTATGGGCATGAGTTGTAATGGGCCAACTGCAACAAGCTTGGGCACAATATGTCCCTTGGCAATGTGAAAAATGTTCACTTACTTTTATCAATAAGAGCCTTCCTCCCTTTTCATGTGCCATTGTATAAGACTTCTGCATCAAATGTTCTCTCAAGACAGGATAAAATAATATTGACTGATGAAACAGATGTTACAATATGGCTCTTACTTCTATGGTTCTATATTCTGGCCAAAATGGGGCTGATGATTTAGATTCTAGTCTGGGCCTGAGCTGTGAAGACAGGCTGCATGTTTGTGTTCTTAGGATTTTTCATCAATTAAGCTTACCTGTATTTTCCATGATTTGTTGATAATCTTTTCTTTATTCTTTTCCTTCTAAGCATTGGCTTTTCCTCTGATACTTTTTTTCCTATGGCTTTCCCATATTCCTGCTCTTTTACATCCATCTCAAGCAGTCGGGGATAGGGTGATTGGCCCCTCCCCCCTCTACACCTTAGCGAATGTGAAAACACCAATATGGGCGAGGGATAAGTTGGGATTCAAAGTCGTCTGCAGAGTTGGCCTACGTTACGTTATTTTGAAGTTTTCGGTAACCCGTAGCTGTCAGTACCGTTTCGTAGCGTAATTGGGATGTTTCGGTAGCGTAGTACGGAAAATAATAGAATAATGTAGGAACTACGAAATGGATTCCGTAGCAATTACAGGTCAGCTGTATTTGTATAAGGTACATAATTTTTTTCAGTTGACTCATATCGTCACCAGACCTCCGGCCGTTTACACGGATGTGAGACGCCTGCTATATGAATACCACTTGAGGCCGGGGGGATCCAGGGCGTCGTTAGTCCATCTACGACACGTCGCAAGTTACGACACATATGCCGTCGCAAGTTGTGTCGTAGCGGAAAAGGAGGGATGTTGAGGAAAGAGGGGTTTGTCGGAGGATACGACAGAACGTAGCTGCGACGAGGCTTAAATACCCGCTTTACTCGAGAATTTAAAAGGTTACACGATCAGCTGATCCCGTAGTAAACGTCAGTAAGGTCGAAAACTCTATCACGCATAAAGGAACATTCGCCTTTCTGGTTTGCGAGCTTATGAGACAGCAAGGTCAAGCATGTTCTCTGATTCTGAAGCTTTGTATTAATTGGTAATATTACTAAGTGCTCGAGCGAGGAACATATTAAATATAATTAGATAAATAAAAGATGTTGACCTTTTCCTCGACATCAAAATTGTAAAAAGCCGAATAATATATTTAAAAAAACGGTGAGCTTTCGGCCACTGGCCTTTATCAAACCAACGTGCTAACCATTGTTAGCACGTTGGTTTGATAAAGGCCAGTGGCCGAAAGCTCACCGTTTTTTTTTTTAAATATATTATTCGGCTTTTTACATTTTTGATGTCGAGGAAAAGGTCAACATCTTTTATTTATCTAGTTCGTATCTTCACCATTTGCGATACAACTTGCGTATCTACTTAGCCTACGATGTGATGGATCCCTCCAATATCTGTTCCGATTCAACTTACGTTTGATCGCAACTGCGAGGTGCCTTGCGATCACATGGATCCCCCCAGATTAATTGGGTGACTTGTGGTTGCTAACGCTCACGTGATTTGCCATAAAATTTGGGATCGATCACAGGAGATTCGTGGCTATAGGGCATCTAGAATCGATGCTTTAGAAGAAATGAGTTCCGAGAGTTTGAGGTTACAGAGAGGTAAGAAATTTGTAGATGGATGTCACAATTGGAGGCTACAGAGGTCATCTGGGACACGTCAGGTCACAGAGGTCAACTTGGGGTCATCACAGAGCTCAATTGGAGACCACGGAGGTAATCTGAGACACGTCAGGTCACAGAAGGCAGCTTGGGGGCACGTCAGGTCACAGAGGTCAACCTAGGGTCATCACAGTGCTCAATTGGAGGTCACGGAGGTCATCTGGGACACATCAAGTCACAGAGGTCAACTTCGGGTCATCACAGAGCTCAATTGAAGGTCATTGGGGCCATCTGAGACACGTCAGGTCACAGAGGTCAGCTTGGTGCCATCAGAGAGGTCACTTAGAGGTCACAGAGGTCATATGGGACACGTCAGGTCACAGAGGTCAACTAAAGGTCATCAGAGAGCTCAATTGGAGGTCATCTGGGACACGTCAGGTCACAGAGGTCAGCTTGGAGTCATTAGAGAGCTCAATTGGAGGTCACGGAGATCATCTGGGACACGTCAGGTAACAGAGGTCAACTTGGGGTCATCACAGAGCTCTATTGGAGGTCATGAGGGTCATTTGGGACACGTCAGGTCACAGAGGTTAGCTTGGGGTCATCATAGAGGTCACTTAGAGGTTACAGAGGTCATATGGGACACGCCAGGTCACAGAGGTCAAGTTGGGGTCATCACAGAGCTCAAATGGAGGTCATCTGGGACACGTCAGGTCACAGAGGTCAGCTTGGAGTCATCAGAGAGCTCAATTGGAGGTCACGGAGGTCATCTGGGACACGTCAGGTCCCAAAGGTCATGTTTGGGTCATCACATAGCTCTATTGGAGGTCATGGGGGTCATCTGGGACACGTCAGGTCACAGAGGTCAGCTTGGAGTCATCAGAGAGCTCAATAGGATGTCACGGAGGTCATCTGGGACAGGTCAGGTCAAAAAGGTCAACTTGGGGTCATCACAGAGCTCATTGGAGGTCATCGGGGTCAGCTGGGACACGTCGTTTTTTTGGAATTGGGAGAATATTTTGGGGATGCCCCTTGCAACGTCCAAGACCGCCTTTCTGGATTCGCCAGTAGTTGCTGGAATGGTGTTAGGCTACTTCATATCCCCGAATACCCCAATAAATGTGAATATAACATATTATGCACCATTTCCAACACTCTCGCTGGCACGGATTGAGGCCTCATAGACGACCCGTCAGTTCAAGCTCTATAACTCGCGTTAGCGTCAACGGATTGCAACCAAATTTTCAGGATCTAAAGTTTAAACAATTTTACACCTACCACGTAAATTTCGTGACCATGACCCGAATGACCTGTGACCTGTGACCTCTTCCTCAAGGCAAGGTCAACTTGCGACACAACTTACGACTGCTATTTCAAATTCGTAAGTTGTGTCGCAAATCAGGCTATTTGCGATAGACTTTACTACTTAAGTAACGCTACTCATCGATTGATCCCTTCAAAAACGACTTAGCTGGGGGGATCCATGTGATCGCAAGGCACCTCGCAGTTGCGATCAAACGTAAGTTGAATCGGAACAGATATTGGAGGGATCCATCACATCGTAGGCTAAGTAGATACGCAAGTTGTATCGCAAGTGGTGAAGATACGAACTAACTTTACGAATCTTCTCGGTCGATCGGAAGGCCGATCGTAGCGAAGCTTTACCTCTTTCTCAAGAGAAAAATTTAAGAAATTTTCAAAATTTTCACAAAACCGAAATATATGTTAAACAAATATGGTTGATGAACACGTGTGCAAAATTTGAAGTCGATTTCTTCAAAAATGGCTGCGCTAGAGCGTTTTAAATTTACACGTTGAAAACGCTCACTTTCACGTCATTTTTGTAATTGTTTTTTTCAATTTTGAAATTTAAAAGTTTTTTGGGCAATTTTTCGCGTTAATTGCGAAAATCTGACCAAAACATGTATCGACCATCAATGATCCGATACGCCATCAGAGGCCGCGCCGCGGACAGGTGGGCGCGGCGATACCTAGGCCGCGTGGGGGTTACACTGGTGTTCGGGAAGGGCTATGTCAACGCGAGGCAGGCCGCGGGGGAGCCGGTTGCGGCGCCGGTCCGTATTTGTCGGCGCCTAGCAGTGCAGCGGTGCGTTTATGGCGGAGGGAGGGGAAGCGGTGTAGTGTCGGCAAGGCCGCACACAGGAGAGGGCACACGGGCCTCCCCCCCATTCGAGTTGGGGCTCCTAATCTTTAGACCGCCGAAGATCATGTAAAATGAACTGAAATAATGACTGAAAAGACCGGGACTGTAGGGTGGCACTTAGCAATGGGGTGAATTTTATGTTTTCCGATTTTTAGGCGTGCGGGTAGTTTTCTGGTTCCATTCCCGTAAAAAATAATGTGTGCAAAATGATTTTGAAAAATATTGATATTTAGGGGTCGCGAATTGAGGTCAAGGTTGACATTTTTTCGGGAAAAATCAACTTTTTGGAAACTGCTTTAAACCTATTTGGAATGACATATGTGGTCATTAAGCGTCATTTCCGACGTATTTTGACCTTTATTTGTATAACAATTGTTTATCCCATCACTTCCGGCCGATCGTAGCCAGTCTAGGTCAGGCCAAGACAGGTCTGATCTGGGCTGCTTTACCCATG